AGAAAATCAGCGTAGTATAATCAGGTTTCCATCTCTTTATTACATGATCCTCACATTACAAACCGAAACTGTTTGGAAATAGTTTATACAAAATTAGGCATTCTATTGTAAATGCTATCTATGATTACTAGAGGTTAATTAATCCTGAAAACAAGATGGGGGGGGTTGTTTCCTGATGCTAAGGAACATAATTAGGAAAGGAAACATAGGCTGAAGGGGAGCCAGGATATTTTGGCATCTTGTAAAAATATAAAGCACCTGATTCAGCAGCAGTGAAATTTTTTTTTAAAGATTAGTTTGCTGAAATTATAAATGCTTGTGGAAAACAGAAGTAAATCTGTGACCTCCAGCTGGAAGTCCATAAAGGGGTAAAAAACAAAACAAAATCAAGATGGTGGCTGTGATTGGGTTACCGTCAATCATGCATATAACACAGGGTAGAGCTTGTGTCGCAGAAGTTAGAGCCACCATTTTGACATCTCTCTCTCCCTTCCCTTCCCTCCCCTCCCCTCCCTCCCTTCTCTTTCTCACACACATGGTTTTCAACTCCCAGAATTCCCCAGCCAGCATGCTTGAAAAACTCTTCTAAGTTCCAGTGTTGATAAAGAAAATGAACTACTGTATTGTGGTGTTTGTTCTCCAAAGCAGCTGAAATAGAAGTAGTTCTTCAGCCTCCATGCCCTAGAACAGTGTCTCAACCTCAGCAAGCTTCTCAGGAGAACCTCAGCGTTCTCCTGAGAAACTCTGAGAATTCAGGTCTACATCTCTTAAACTTGCGGAAATTGAGAGAATTAAGGGGGCAAAGGGACTCCAAAAGACCAATTTCCCACACTTTTCTTCCCCCTTTTCCTGTTCCTATAATTGGAGAGTGTCGGATATTTCAGCCCCATGAAAGATTTTAGTTATTTTCCCTTCCTCTTTCTTTCCCACTCCGTCAGTTTCTCTTGTGGACAGAACTTCTTACACTAATGCAAACAGATTTTTTTAAGCTACAATTGGTACAAAGAGTCATGGAAAGATACATATGCTCAGCATTACAAGACAAGATAGAAAGACCTGCCCATGGATTAGAGAACAAACAAAAATATATTATCAAGAGAGTAAACGAAATGGAATGGAAATGGGTTGGTCACATAGCAAGAAGAACTGATGACAGGTAGACCAAGGCAGTCATTGAATGGATTCCACTTGATAAAAAGGCATCCATGAAAGAGATCTAAAACAAGATGTATCGACGACATTAGCCGGTAATGCAGGGCCCAACTGGCAAAAGAAAACTCAGTATTGGTTGGAAACATGTAGAAGAGGCCTTCATCCTGCAGTAGATAGACAATGGCTAAAAAGATGATGATGATGATGATGATGATGATGATGATGATGATGATGATGAATGATGATTTCTATACAATACAATGCAATTCTTTATTGGCCAAGTGTGATTGGGCAATGTACATTGAGAGCAGCATATGCTCTCAATGTACATAAAAAGAAAAGATACATTCGTTAAGAATCATAAGGTACAATGATAGTCATAGGGTACAAATAAGCAATCAAATCATATTAGGAAACAATATAAATCGTAAGGATACAACAAGTTACAGTCATACAGACATAAGTGGGAGGAGATGGGTGATAGGACTGATGAGAAGATATGATATAATATATAATAAGAACACATAATATAATATGATATAATGATAAGATATATGGTTCAGAGCAGTGGTGAAATCCAAATTTTTTTACTACTGGTTCTGTGGGTGTGCTTGGTGGGCGTGGTGTGGCTTGCTGGATGTGGCTTGGTGAGCGTGGCAGGGGAAGGATACTGCAAAATCTCCATTCCCACCCCACTCCAGGTGAAGGATACTGCAAAATCTCCATTCCCACCCCACTCCAGGGGAAGGATACTGCAAAATCCCCATTCCTACCCCACTCTGAGGCCAGCCAGAGGTGGTATTTGCCAGTTCTCCGAACTACTCAAAATTTCTGCTACCATGTCAGAACCTGCTGGATTTCACCCCTGGTTCAGAGTGTGCAGATAAGCACTGTAGACCAGTGTCAGCAGCTTTCAGATGGATGGACCTCAACTCACAGAATTCATGGTTGGCTGGAAAATTCTGAGAAAAGTTTGAAAAACACAGGTTTAGACATGCTCATGACCAAAAAAAAAATGCTGGAACAGACCCATGGCTATTCAGAAAGAAAGACACGGGACTGGCATTGGGGCAGAGAAAGTTCTGCCTTTTGTTTGAGTCCTGGGATGTCTTACAGCGCCCCCTCCCGTCGTGCAAGGAACCCAAAACAATTGGGAACCGGATAAGTGATCATCGCGGACTAAAATTATGCCCTGGCCGGTGGAACCCTGAATCCACGGGGAAATGGGCACTTGGCCTGGAGCAACTTTTCTAGCAAGTAAGTGAATACGCCTCTGACACGAACAGTCTCAGGCGCTAGGACGCTTGCAGGGAAGACGGGGTATCCAAGCGCGGTCTCGAACTCGATACCTGCCGACCTTTCATAAGAAACTATCGTTGCTCGTTGCCGCTGCGCTACGGTAGTTTTGGAAGCGACAAGCGTGTTTTTAGGCGAACAAGATGGAAGCGGATTCTGCGTTGTGTATTCCCCCGCCCCGCCCCCCCCCCCCCTGGCATTTCTGGTTGTGACGATCAGCTTCATCCCCGGGAGACTTTTGTGAAGTTTATACGATCTTTCGACATTTGCAACCCACCGGGAAAGTAAATCCGGTCCAGTCCATGCTGGTGGGGCTACCAGGTCTCTTGAAAGAGTTATCAAATATTTTAAATACAGGATGCCTAAGAGGGCAGGTGTAAACCAGGACGATGCTGCATGCGCTTACTCCAGTGTAGCGCTTCTAAGGCAGGGGTCTCCAACCTTGGCAACGTTAAGACTTGTGGACTTCAACTCCCAGAGTTCCTCAGCCAGCTTTGCTGGCTGAGGAACTCTGGGAGTTGAAGTCCACAAGTCTTAACGTTGCCAAGGTTGGAGATCCCTGTTCTAAAGAACCCAGCAGACAACCTGCTACCTGTAACTCCACGCCTTGAATAGGGGAGCGGAGGCGACACAGAATCCACCTACTGTACTACATATTAATAATAATATGTAAGGAGGAAAGCTAATCCTTTCCCACTAGTTTTCCTAACTAAAACACCTCACTTGCATCTGCCTTATTAATAAATATTTTTTCCTAACTAAAACACCTCGCTTGTATCTGCCTTATTAATATGTATTATTTTTCTCCCTCTTTGGCAACTTTTTGTAAGAAACGTTGCATCCATGCATCTGTCTAAGGCTGAAATTTACCTCAGATCCTAAATCCACACAGAACTAAGCTCTCTCTCTATATATATTAAAAACGCAGCTACTGATGATACGACCTTAGCCTTCTGTTCATTGTATTGTTTGCCAAATGGGAAAAAAAGACGTTAAAAAAAAAGCTTTCATAGAAGACAGGATATTTATTGTCATTTCCCCTTTTTTCCTTTGCTATAAGTATTGAAAACTCTTAACAATTTCATAACAGGCAGGCAATGCACAGGTAAATATATTTTTTTGGGCACATGTGCATCTCTAATTCTGGGAAATACTGCATGTTGGAAAATGAATATTTAGGGTTAGGGTTAGGGTAAATGAATATTTACCTGCCAGATAATTATTACAAGAAACTTGCGGAAGAAAATCTGTCAAATTCCATTAATTTAATTAATAAATGTTAATCAATTTAATTACTTAATTACCATAATTAAGTCTAAGGAAAGCCACATGGGTGACTTCGGGCTAGTCACATTCTCTCAGTCCAACACACCTCACAGTTGTAGGGAAAATAGGAGGAAAGAATATTAGGTATGTTCACTGTCTTGAATTATTTATAGAAATAATAAAAGCTGTATCTTTATTATCTATTTAGCAAGAGCTGCTACAGGAGAAAAGGGAAACATGTAGCTTAAATGTTCTGTAAATGAATTTCCAAAATGTATTTCATTTCACCAACCTAGTAAGAAGCAACCGCTAAATGTTATTAGTAATTTCTAACAATTTATACAAATATATACACTAGGTTGCATTTCTGCAGTTTCTGAGGTGACATAGCCTGTGCGATTTTTTTCATTTTTCCGTTCAAAAAGCTCAAATAAGCTCCAACTTTGAAGGAAATCCACTATTAGTCCCTTTTTCTATTTTTTGGAAAAACCCTTGTGATTCTGCTATCATCACAAGGGGGAAAATGTATTGGAGTGAATCTATAATATGTGTCTAGACTAGCATCTAATCCGTTGTAACCCTTCAGGTGATACATAATATCCTTCCTATAGCTTCAATAGGATATTCGTTTAAACTGAAATCCAAAAGACAAAAATAACCAAGAGGCGCAAAACATTACTTCATTTCTTCCAGTACTCAGAACTGCAGTCACATAGTCCATCTTCCATAAATATATTTAGAAGCAAACTCTATTGGATTCAAAGTGGGCTTATGTGAAAGATAGACTTATGACCCTCAACCTCTCTGGAATAATATATGCATTTGAAATGTCAAGAACCCCAGGGGCACTTTCACAATAGAGGTACTATGAATGATATTCCCACTTACTCATATATCAGAATGATACCTGCCACATTTCTCACTAATTATCTTTTAATTCTAGACAGATGAATATGCATCAAGACAAAGTACTGGTCTGCAGAAACCAAAGATTATGAAAATAAGACACTTTCTTGGAAATAAACATGATGATGGGGCTGACCTTTTGTTTTGCATTATGCAACTTACTATTAAATACTAATGAAAGGAGTAAGTGGTCAAGGGGACAAGAAGTCTGGCAGGAAACAAGAGGAATAGTCACAGGCATAACCCTATCCAATTGCCATGTGGCCCCAAGGTGAGATGGGCAGGAAACAAATCTAATAAATGAATGTTGAGAATGCATAGTATACAATAAAATTTGTCTAACACTACAGATTGCAGCAGATTTAGAGATATTCAACCTGTAGGTATTAACAATATTTATTGAGGCCATAAATGTACTCTTGGCATAAAAGGGAGTGATGCAAATAAAATCTTAAGAGATGAATAGGAACTTGCAAGCCTTGAAATGGCCCAAATTATTTCAATCATATGACTGGGTTACATAACATATTACATCAAGGATTTACATCTTCACAATAAGACTGTGGGTCAAATTCCGACCGATTCAAGAAATAAACAGATTACAAAGAAGCAAATACTAACCCCTGTTCTTGAATTTTTCACTATCATTATATAAATCTAGTAAGAACGTTCCAGTACATAAATATGAAATAAAACAACTAAATTCAATTTTATTAGACATAACTGAAAATACTTAAAAGGACATATAAAATTTAAGTTCCTCTTCTTTTTCTCCCTGTGTTGTCTGCATTCTTTATCCAACCATAGATCTTTTTCTTCCTCTTAATCGTACTTCATCCAGCTTTTTTTATCACTGGAATTGATTTTTTAGATGCAGCTGAGTATTTCTTCAACAGTGCTTCAAACAGAGCTTCTGTGTTTGGATGGGTACTCAAAAAGGCTTTCTCTAAGACATATAAATCAACACCCTTATCCTCAGGAAGGCCAGAAATAAAACTTAGTCCAAAATCTATTAATGTCAACTCTAGCTTCTCCGCTGGTGGTTGCAAAAGCATGTTAGAAGTTGTGAGATCCCCATGTATGAGGTCTTCATCATGCATTCGTGCCAATATCTCTCCTATCTTTTCAGCTAATTGAATAAGATTGCTGATACCTTCACCAGATTGCTGCTGGGAGATTATATAGTCCCGAACAGTAGTTGATCTTACAATGTCTTCAAGATATATAAGTTGACAACATAGTCCACAAAGTACACAACAGGTGCAGAAATCCCTAAAAAGACAATAAAAACCATTAGTTTGTGGTGGAATATATTATACCATCTTAGGAGATAGACTAATGTTCTGAAAAAAGCATTTTTTGGTGCTCATCTTCCTCCAGACAATGTTACCATTCTATCCTTTCCCTTATCTTTGGCATGTGCTATTGTATGCCATAGTCTTTCTTTGCTTTTGAGCTATAAAACAAACAATCAACACATCACCATACTATTTGTAGCTGGCTATTTATGAGAAGCTACAGAATTTAGAATATAAGGGAAAAGCTGGGAATGCTCATGTACTGACAAGATATGACTAAAATGTTTTTAAAAGTCTGGAGCAGAAAAAATGTTGATTTTAAAACTGGCATGTTTTATTCAATGAAACTTGCATCTCGTCTTTCTTCCTTCAAGACACTTATATAGCACTCTGCCCTCCATTTTTCTCTAAGGCCCTTAAGAGGAATATCGGCTAAGATGAAGAGCTGGCTCCAAATCACCTAGTGAGATTCCATGGCTGTGTATGAAGCTCACAAGGTCATGGCCACTGCCCAAAGCACAATTCCATCTTCCAGCAGTCTGATATCCAAGTTAGTTTAGTAAGTTTAATTGCAGAAATGTAAAACACAAGGTGTACTTGATCAGGAACATACTCAATATATCACTGGTTTCTAACCATTAATACTTCCCGTATCATGACAATGTCTACGAGAAATTGATGACGGCAAATGGAATTAATACATTAAAATTGAAAGTATTATAGAAAAAGAATTTTTTTTGTAATCCTCAAAGTAAAAGGTGGTGATATATCTAATCCAAATACCACATTCAAACGTGTTTAACACATCCATTACATTTCTTTTTTAAAAAATTCAATCTGCTTCCTTAGCCATTTCAGACAGTTCCTCCAATAAAGGGAAGTAAAAAAAACTTTAAATCAAGTTCTACTAAAAACTGATCAATATTCGAAGGACAATAAAATATATATTTTGTTATATATATTTTCCTTTGTCAAAGGGGAGCTGATTTGATCTCCCTCCTTTAGCCTATTTAGAATACAGTAGAATCGCTTTTAAATACTTAATTCATGGGGTGGGGGGGGAGAGCGGATCTAACTCTTCTTTGATTGGCCGCCCTGTGGAGCCCACCCACTTCCTGCCTCATCCAATCCCTGGCTAAGCCCCGCCCCACCTGCCCGTCGACAGCGTAGCAACGAACGGGCCTCCTGTGCCGTTCGCTTGTGGCTGAGCCTCTCATCCATCGTTGGGTGCCGGTAACGTTTCGGGAACCGGAGTTTCATCACGGTCGGCCTGCCTAAGAATTGGCCCCGATACAGGCGGGCTTCGGCTCCCTGCTGGATCAACTGCAGCCCTTCCATGGGAGGAGGGAATCCTGATGGATCGGTTTCGACCGACCCACCTTCCGAATTTGATCCTGCCATGATGGCAAAATGGCCAGACAACCTTTCTCTTTTAGTACGCATGCGCAATCATCCTAACCTAAGTGGTGTGTGTGCGGTGCGCAAATTCCGCAGCTGAATGAGCAACGTTATTGGAGTTGTAAGCATCAGACCATTAAATGTGAGCAAGGAAACCGAGGAAAATCTGCCATCTTGTGGTCCGCTGTGTGTTTGCAGTCCATATTTTTAAACCGTAATAAAAGAATAAATTTTCCTACATTCTTTCTAGAATGATAGGGCTAGTATACCATGAAGAAAATCAAGTAAGAATCTGAATTTGGAGCTGTGCTGCATAACTTGCTTACTTACTTACTTACCTGTATGTTGTTCCATATCGCTCCTTTCCTAAGTCATTCAGATTTCCTTATTAGGAAATTCACTGGGAGTTCCATCCCAAGTAATCTGCACTTTCCTGAAACAGAATTTTTTTTTTTAATTTGATATATATGCCACCCTTCTCCAAAGACTCAGGGTGGCTTACCATGCGTTAAGCAATAGCCTTCATACTTTTGTATATTTATACAAAATCAGCTTATTGCCCCCAAAAACTAGGTCCTCATTTCACCTACCTTAGAAAGGATGGAAGGCTGAGTCAACCTTGAGCCTGGTATTGTTGCATTACAGCTCCTCTAATCCCCTAATTTGCTTTCTAATTTAAACAAAATATATTTGGAGATTAACCTATTTTTCTTAAAAAGGCATTTTGGTGTAGTGGCTAAAACGTACCAGAGTCCCAGACTAGAAACTGAATTATACTTCTGCCTTACTCATGAAGCCAATGGGTATTTGGGTCAATCCTACACTGTCAGCCTTAGGAAGAAGGCCAAAAGCCAACTGCTTTTGAAACTGTTGCCAAGAAAACCTGTTTGGCAATCAACGGAATGGAATGGAATGAAGTTCTTTATTGGCCAAGTGTGATTGGACATACAAGGAATTTGTCTTTGGTGCATATGCTCTCAGTGTAGATAAAAAGACAAGATACACTCATCAGGAATCACAAGGCACAACACCCAGTGACTAAAGATTTAGATTTTGTACCCATTTGCTTCAGAGTAAACCCTTTGAATTTATTTGGCCTTAGTCCTGGGTAAACACAGGCTTGGATTATTATTTACTAAGTTTGATATAAAAAGAATTGCATGACTGCAATCTTTCCTTGGCTGTACAACCTGTAGCCCCCCAAGTCTCAATCTACCACCAAGAATTACACAAAAATTGGCAGTGGATTTTAATGTTTAATGTAATATGTAAATAATTGTTTCCTTCTTAGTCATATGGGCAGAAGATAGTTTCTGTAAACTCTTCAGAAAATGAATAAAGACGCCATCACAGAATACATGAAAACAAAGATGCTTCTATAATTCAAGCAGGGAGAACTCACATACCCGCTTGATTTTTAATGCTACATTTGCTTTACTGGCATAGCTTATATTAGTCCTATTTTTCTAATTATACTGATTAGGATAGTTGGGAATTATAGCCCTACATAGTCATAAAGCCAGAGTAGGTAAGTGAGGCCTGCATTCTTCAAGATAATGTTTCATTCTGAGCAGAGTGTTCACTGCAAAGGTTTCAGAGTAATTAATTCACTGTCTGCTTCCTCTCATGATTTTTATTTATTTCGACAGATACAAGTGTGGGTAACTTTGATGGTATTGTAAAAAAAGAATATCTGCATCTTTCATATCTAAGGAAGGGAAAATGTTGGCACATGTAACTTGTATGTTGGATCTTTTAGGAGGTGTTTATACACATTGCTAAATCATGCTTACTTTATTATGGTTTGAATAAATTAATTAGCTAACATATTGATCCTTAAAACACAAGTTAGCATTCCTACTGAGCAAATTCATGCTAAGCAAAATCCAGTCAAACGACATGATGACTTTATGGATTTTTGTATGAATCTGGCTATAAAGCTATAAAACCTTGTCCCCCAACCCTCTTGCCATCTCTAGTGTTGGAACAAAGCAAACAGGATGGTTAATTGTTTAGATGGTTTTAAGAATAATCTGTATGTATGGAGCCTCCAAATCTGGAAAAATCCAAATGCCTTCAACCCTAAGAATTAGCTTTCTGTATGTCTTTGGCACCATCTAGTGGTTGGTCATTCAGTTGTGCCCCAGATATGGCAAATGTAAAACATATCCATGGAGTTTTTGAGGTACCAAGAGATGCTCATCCTGATGCTACTAGCTCAAGAATCAAGTACTGTATGTCTTTATTATTAGCTATCAGAGAATAACAGTGTAGAAGAGCTACTATCCTCCTGTCCTAGTTTGTAAGCTTCCCCCCCCAAAAAATTGGTCAAGCATTATATGACACAAAGTGCTGGATTAAATGGGCTGTTGAGCTACTGCAGTAGGGCTCTTCCCAAATTTTATTTCAAAATAAATTACTGTTTGATAGAATGAAATGGACATGAAAAGCAGTGCCATGCTTCATTTTTAGAAATGCATTTCTCCGCACTTTTTTACCAGTATGAAACCTGGCATGATGCATCTGAAAAGAATGTCACACTCAGTACAGTACAGTACTGTACAGTTTGTACAGTAAATTCTGTAAGTGGCTTAACATAATTTGCATATGATTAAAATGGCAAGTTTATCTTTTTCTCTATTCACCCATTATATTGAAATTATTGTTTCCCTTTTCCTGTCTTCCCTAAATATGAAATCTCATATGTCAAAAGTATAGGCAGTGGATTATTGTAGTTGTTTTTCCTGCTCTCTAAAGTTACAAATATTTCTTTCTTCTTCCCATGTCCCATTCCTTATCTATAGACAAATTCACAAAACGTCATCTTTTCAGTCCTGGTGTCAGCAGAAAGTCCAGAAAAGATAACTAGAAGTACCAACATATCTTGATTTAATCTTGATCTAATAAACCAACTTTCTATTCCTTCCTTTTACTTCTAACAGACTTAATCTTTAGTTCATTCAAAAATTGTTGTAGAACTTGATTTTTCTTCATTACTTCCTTACTTCAGAGTCCTTCAATGTTTTAACAAGCTTCTTTTGTAAATCCAATAGGAAAAAAATATCTTAATCACCCTCTTGGTTTGTCATTTGAACTTCACTTTTAAATTTCAGTACCTCAATAGCTTCTTTTGTAGATTCAGTGAAACAACCATTTGTAAATCATTCTTTCGGCCTATCAGTTGTAAATCAACTTTCAATACGAACTCTATTTTGTCAGATAAGATTTGTTCTCCATCTGAAATTTCTTTAGTAATATATTTTGGACATAGGTCTGTCCATAGAAGCAGACATTATTACTGACATTGTTGAGGCTACTGTTTTCTGATTCCATTCTTCAAAAGTTTCCTTCAGTATTTTTAACATCATAATGTTTTCCATCATCTTATAGGCCCATATGTCTTCTTTCTACCTAAAAACCATAGTCCCCTCTCATGTCCAGTTTTTGAAATAATGAAATATATTGTCTTGTAAAAACCAAAATGGATCTATTTCCCTTAAGAAACTGTTAGTGCTTTATCATTATTGTATTTGTAAAAGTTTCAATTTTACAAGTTTATTCCAATTTTATCTGGATTTTTAGTCTGTTTATAGCGTTCTGAAATTGAAATCTTATTTAGCACTTTGCTATTTATTTCAGATTCTTTAAATTGTTAAACTTATGATCAAAATTTCCTTTCATTCAAGCTTGAAGATAGACTCACCCAGCATTTTCAAAGCTGTAATTCCAAAGTTCTCTCATAGCTTAGAAGTACTCTTTTAAAAGTTTCTGCCACAGTTGCAAATGAGATGGTAATTCTGTAATGTCTGAATGTTGAAACTTGCAGAAAATCCGCTGTCTTTCAGTCTCCTCACAAGGAGCAAATGTGTGAAGCAAATAAGTGATTTTCCACTCTCTCATTAAAAGAGATTCCAAGGAACTGGTCTACTCAATGTTTTCACACAGCCATCCTCGGTTTCCCATACTTCCCATCTGAGGTATGAGCCCAGTTATTGCATGCAGGATGTGGAGCAAATCCTAATAAACTAAAATATCAGTCTGGGAAGAAATGAAGGATTGTCACTGTCCTATTAAGTGCAAGACCAACAAACATGGTGATCAGCAATTGCTCTAGTTAGCAAATCCTTCCAACATCATTTCTGAATCCATTTTTCTAAATCCCACTTCCTTCAACATTACTGATTTTATGGATTTTCTTCAATATCTTATCTGAAGTCCTTTTGAACCATTCATAAGATGTAACCATTCAGGATAAACATTTTTTTTTTAATTTTTCCAAGTTAAATTTGAAAAAGGGAACAGTAAGCCAATCTATAAAACATCTAAAGAGCTGGCTCATTTAAATATGAATTAGAAATATGAAGAGAAAAAAAACAAGTTTGGATATACACCCCTCTGACTAGAACAGATTATCTTCAGTTGTATTCCCAAACACGGAGAGAAAATATGAACCAACTTCATGTGTTCAAAAAACAAGAGTGAAATTCCAAAGAGAGACATTATACCATCAATTTGTAATAAAACAAGGTTTTGAAAAAAAAAACAATAATAAAACAAAAGGCAATCCTAGCCTAGGGTCTGTAATATTGTAAAAGAAACCTGATATTAGCAAAAACAGCAGTGAACAGTTTTATTATGACACAGAAATAGAAAATGAACTCTTAGATTTTTTTTTCTTTTTGTTACTGTAACTTACAAAAACAGAGGGAGGGAAGGAAGGAAGGAAGAGAAGAAAGAAAAGAAAGAAAGAAAGAAAGATTCTTAAAAAAGAAAACCACTATATAGCGAGAGCAAAATAAGCAAGGAATAAATCAATTATACCTGACCTGTGGCATACATTCTAGGTGAGCTACTATTTTGGTTTTTCAATAATCTTTTAAAATCAGTAAGGATTTGATCTTGATTCTACTTTTAATTTTTTATTAAATTCCTGCAGGATAATGGTTATTATCAACTCCTGCAAGATAATGGACAGAATGTTGTGATACAAACCCCATCCCCTTTGCTTATTAATGTCTCAGACACGTATTCAAAAGGATAGGATTTGCGTTGCCATTTACTATTTTGATCTATATCCTAAGATTCCCTGGTGTTAAGAGTAAAATTATTTAGGATACTTATAAGAATATAAGAATTGCTTTGTTAGATCAGACCAAGGTTCATCTTAATCAAGAATCTGGTTTCTCACCATAGTCAACCTAGACCTACCTTCTGCTATAGTTATACCCCTCTGCAAGTGGTATTTGGAGGCATGATAATCTCAACCTGGAGTTACCATGAACTCTTTAAGACAAATCTGTTCCTGATGAATGTATGTAGTCGGTTTTTATAGCTGTCTATTAGTTTCCCTTATATGTGGTAATGAATGCCATAGGTTAATGGAAGAAATGCTTTCTTTTAAGGTTATGCAAAACCTCAGATTTGAAGGGAAAAAGGAGCTTCAGTTTACAAAAGATCCATATTTGGCCCTTGTCTACACAACACAACTTTTTCTAGGGATCATCCTACAGTTGCAAAGGGCAGCCATGTGATCCTAGAAGATCCAGAGGCTTAAAGCAATTGCCAACAGATCTTAATCAGCACTCCTGTGGGCACTGAAGCACCTTTTTCCAGAGTGCCTTTCTTTGTCTATTTTAAATACTGTATGGTTTTAAAGCTTCAGTGGGTATTTTAAGAGAGAATAAATTCTCTGTCCACTTCATATTACTCGTGCATAATTGTATCTTAGATCTTAATGCTCTCCCCTTTTAATAGCTGTTCTTAGAAACTAAAGAGTTGCAAATGTTCTAGCCTAGTATATATTTTATTTCTTTGTAATAACTGTCTCATGTACTTATCAAGCTTAGGCAAGGAAGGCTGAAATTACTCATTACTATAAATCTTACTTTTAAATGCCTCTCCAATTCTTTCTTGTCTTAATGGCTGATTCACAAAGGGGTTGCTGGCTTTAATGTGATTCCTTGGGGAAAAATACACGTTCAGTATATCTTCTTAATCCCAAATCTCTAGCCAAGATCGCCCCGACAATGTAGCTGTGGCTTATATAGCAAACCACAATGAAACAAATCATGACTTGGCACTTTGAATCAAGACTTCAACTACAATTCAAATCAAGGAAACATTTTATCTCCAGTAGTATATATATTGGGAATCTATTATCTAATTACCACGCAGAGGCAAGACATAAACCACAAACACACACATTATTTATTACACACAATAATGTATACTGTGACCACTACTGGTAAAGGGTTTGGAAAGTGACATGCTTTGCATGTGTGTTTGATTTCTTTAGCCGCACATCTCAGCAAAAACTCTGGGCAGCTCACAATCCAGGGTTGAAATTTTGTTCAGGCCAATAGCAACAATGTGAAGGTTTAGATCAGACATGGGAAACCGTGGCCCCAGTGGTGGGTTGCTACCAGTTCGCCCCAGATCGGGCAAACTGGTGGCGGTGGCAGGAGGCTCCACCCACCCACCCAGATGTCTCTGCGCATGAGCAGAAGCATCGCGCACGTGAGCGAGCGCGTGCCCACTAGCGAACCAGTAGCGACGGGATTTTAATCCCACTACTGCATGGCCCCTTTATGACTTGTGGACTTCAACTTCCAGAATTCCTCAGCCAGCCATAAAAGTGCCATTGTTTCGCACCCCTGGTTTAGATTTAATCCTAATCAACTTTGGGGAGAACCAGGAAACACCACCAGCAGAGTATTATATTGAACTGACTTAAGTGGTTGAGTTCACATGTATCACAAACACAGAATTTAGATTCTGACCAGCCAGCTAGCTGCAAAAGGCCTTCTAAGGTTACCCAAACACACATGTTGGATTGTTTACTTGTTTGGGAGCAATTAGAAGAGACAAATGGGTCCGTTTTTCCTCATAATTTCCCACTCTTAAACTGACCACAAACCCCCAAGTGTAAATCACACACTTCCAAATCAGCCTTTTTGCTGCCAAAGTTAAGAGCAATCATGGTGCTATTAGAAGGCCACAATTGGATGCTGTGGAATGTCTGTGGACATTGGTTACCTCATGCCAACTTGTGATTCATTTCCTATTCCTTTACTGTGCGGAATAGCCAGAGCAGTTTATGAACAGGGCCTATTAGACATGAACCAGACCATTATGGCTTGTTCAACAAATCATGGGTGAGGAAAATATGGCTTTAGAGCAGGGGTGTCAAATTCATGTTGTCATGGCAGCATCACGTGACGTTTCAGGACTTTTTTGCCCCTTCGCTAAACCAGGCGGGGCCACATGACGCATCTAGCCCGCAGGCCGCGAGTTTGACAGCCCTGCTTTAGAGTGAAATAGAAATTTTGCATTACAGTCTGATTTGGAAGCCTTACTGCTTCAGACAGGAAGGCGGGGCAGAGAGCGGTGAGGATGGCAGAAAATATTGGCACTTCACTCAGTTCTATCCAGGACACAGCAATATAAGTGTTATTGCTTGAGCAGGGTCGGGCAGTATTGTCTGGGACACTACACATTCTCTTCATGACTTTTTTTTCCTTGTTACCTTCTGGGAGGCAACTTCGTGGTATCCGAAACAAAACATCCAGATTCAAGTCACAGTTTTGTTCCATCCAGTATCGACTTGGTGATACTCTCAAGCTTCCACTTCCCACTATGTATTCAAGAGATGGGCAGTGATTAATGTTTATATGTATTTATATGGAAGGGTGTAGGTAAATACATACATGTGCCTGTTATGAATGTGTACACTTTTGAGAGCAGGCAACATAATTTCATTTTTAATGTGTGCCAGTAAAAAAAAAAAAAGAAGACAATAAAGGTTATCTTATCTTAAAGCAGGCACAGATCCCTGCTTTTCACGATGCTTGGCTCTTCCCAAACAATCGGTAGTTGACTTCGCAAACCAGAACCGGCGACGTTTAGTCTACGCAACCTCTCCGGAATGGATGGGATCTAGCAAGCCCGAGCAAAGGGGGCCGTTTTGCTAGTTTCCCTGCAAATGCGCTCCGGGATCCCACCCAGCCCTGCCCTGGAAGAACGAGCACCTCCTTTTCCCCAGCGCCGCTGACCGTTTCCCCTGTTTTCTGCGAGGGGGGCTCCCCTCCCCGCCGAGAGCACGTAGGCAAGTCCGGAGCAACGTGGCGCTCTTCGGTCCCTACTGTAGGGCAAGTGAAGCTTTCGTGGGCCTCCAGCTTCCCGGGGCTCCCGAAGGAGCAACAATTTCTGCTCCTGCCTCTGTCCTTCTGCGGCGGCGCGGACATCCAGGATGCGATCCTGGCAAAGGGAGAGCTTTGCCCCGGGGGCGTCCCAGCGGCGAGCCCTCTACCGTCGGAATGCGGGACGTCCCTTCATTCTCGCCGCTAAAGTCCAGGGCTGGGAAGCGCTGAACCGCTGGTTGAAGTTTCGATCCCTTAAGGGGCTTCCGGGCCGACACTTCTCTTCTCTTTCTCGAGTTGGGAAACAAAACTTTTTTGTGGGGGGGAGCCGTGTGCGCCGCTTCCATCAAACATGGGTGAGTTCCTTGTCCGGCGAGGAGAGTAGCAGGGGACGGGGAAGGGCGGACTTCTCTACAGGGCTTCGGTTTGTTCTCTGATGGAAGAAACTTTTTTCGACTTGCTTCTTTCTCAAACAAGTCGCCTTTGCGGTTCGCTTCTCTGCTCCCCATTGCTCTGTCCCGTGTGCTCAGTTGCTGTTTTCCTCTGCCAGACTAATGGGTTAATATCCTACGTGTGCATCTATCTATCTGTCTGTATCGGTTTGTTTTGTTTTTGTTTGCTTTTATTGGATTTGTATACCGCCCTACTCCCGAAGGACTCAGGGCGGTGAACAGCCACAGAATAAAACACATAAATACAAAACTTTAAAATAGAATAAAAACGAATTAAATAATTTGGCTGAGACAAATTAAAATACCCAATAATTTAAAAAACAAATTAAAATTTACATTTAACAGGGGAAAAGATTTAGGCCAGGCCAGCTTGATGAAATAAGAAAATCTTGAGCGCGCGAGGGAAGGTGCGCAGATCCGGGATCCTCCGTACCTCCGTGCTTTGCCAAACGCTTTTAAAATGGTCTCAAGAAAAAAAATAGTTCTCCTTCTTTATCTTGGATTACAGTGTTAGGTCTAGGAGCGGAAGCACTAACATCCCCTGTCTGATGCCCCTTGGGAAGCATTGGGTTAGAGCTGACCAGGGATGGTAGGAGTTGAGGTCAAATCAGCCAGATTGGAAGATTTTGGTGGGCTCAGTGAAAGCTAAGAGTAGCCGAAGGCGCTCGCTTTTCTAATCAAGCTGCATTCTTTTGCACTGTCAAAGTGCAGAGTTGATAGGATTGGGTTGCAGTGTCACCGTCCACCGTGAACCTAAGCAAGTAGCTCATAAGACTACTGTCTCAGACCTGTTTATCATTCTTTTGGCTAATCGGCAAATGGTAAACTTGTCAACTACATTTTAGCCCAGTGTGAACGGATCCCATGGGATTAAGTTTACATTTCAGTATATCATGCAATCCCAGAACACATTGCTTTCGTGGAGTAGTTTATAAGAAGGTAGGGCATGAGAATATTGTCTGCCTCTAATATGCAGGTGGTCTTTTAATAAATGTTACATGTTTGCTCAAGAATAAGACCTGCTCTATTAAATGGGTTTTGTTTAGATAAGGGGTCTCCAACTTTTGCAACTTTACGACTTGTGGAGCTCAACTCCCAGAATTCCTCAACCAGTGCATGCTGGCTGAGGAATTCTGGGAGTTGAAGTCCACAAGTCGTAAAGTTGCCAAGGTTGGAGACTCTTGGTTTAGATGGAAGACAAGACCTTTCTTAATCATTGTTTACAGAATGAAACACCTTGCCATTTATTTCCCCAATTAAATGTGGCCACTGGTTTAATTTACCTTTCTAGCACAAAAACATACTTGCTAATGTCAGAAAAAGATTTTTCACAGCCATTAATGAAAGTTCAGTTTGAAATCAGTTTGCTCCTCTGTATCAGTTTTCAAAGGCAGCACACTATTTCAGTTAAAAATTCATTTGGCTTCCTACCCTTTTTATAATACGATGGTGGGGTGCCAGAGAATGGGGGAGAAATTGAAAGTACCTCAATTCTTTGAATACAGGATTGCAGCTATTGACACAATTTTCAAGTGTGTTGATAATTTTAAGGGTTAATGTTTGAAGATTAAAGTTTACAATTGCACCAAGCCATGGTTAGTTGAATAAGACAGAGTAGCCCAGTTCACATGTAAGCTGTAAAATCATACTTTCCAAATTTCATTGTGCTAACTCTAACCCAAACAAACCACATTGCGGTTTATGATATATGATCCTTGGGTAAAGGAGAAAAAAGTACTTCTTTTTATCCAGTTATCTTCAACCCTTGTAAGAGGTTGGGCTATAAAGTCAACTATAAAATATTTAAACCTTTAAAAAGTTTTCAATAGGCATAGAGAAGGGAAAAAGCTGCTTTAATGAATAGTAGAGAGGCTTGCTTGATCAGGTCTGGACCATTTCTTCCCTTCCAAACCATTTTTGAAGTATGCCTTCAAACTATTCTGTCTATTCCTTTATTTCTGCTTTCAGCAATCTCTGGGTTAAAATATGAATTTTCATCTATGTATACCAGAACTTTATTATTTATGGCATGACTGATCTGTCCAATCTGTACCTCCAGACTTTGCAGTACTCGGTCTCTGAGCTATTATTCCTAACTCCAGGAATACACACTCCATGAAGTGTTTCAATTCGTTCTTGCATTCAGACATTTATTTTACAGGTCTTGTATACAGCTCCAACTTCAACTGTAGGTAGGTAATAATAAAATAATGCAATAAACTAGATAATCAATAAACTGAGTCCATTTGGTATAGCATTTAAGGTTCTGGATTAGAAACCATAAGGTTGTGATTTCTAATCTTTCCTTATGCATAAAAGCTATACAGGTGACTTTTAACCAGTCCTCCCCCCCCTCTTTCCCTCCCCCTCCCCCTCTCTCCCTCCCCCTCCCCCTCTCTCCCTCTCCTCCCTCCTTCCCTCCCTGCCCCCAGTTCACCATAAAATATTGTGATGAAAAAAGGAAGAGGGAGAATTATGTATGCCATGTTCGATAAAATAAAGACCGTTAATATAAAGATAAAGCAATTAAAGATTTAAAAAGCAATCAGATTTGGCCATTAACAAAAGGGAAGCAAACACAGCTAAGAGTTCTTATCTTTAGTTTTTCTTGTCTGCCTCCTTGTTGCATACTAAGTTTAGAACTGAATGTACTTAACTATAGGCCTAGTTCTTCACAAGTTACAGTCTAGTTGTCTCACTCCAAAACTGGAAGCAATTTCTGTAAAAGTGAATGCTCCAACAGACCAAGAAATGTTTCATATGGCAAAAATAATGCAGCAATGAAAGTTCTCATTTATTTCCTCTGACCTACGTGTTGTCTATTTGGGGACGGGAGAGACGGCAAAGTTAGACACTGAAATTCTACTAACAATGTGAAGAGATGAAGTACAAAAATAAGGTTTCTTTTTTTAACAGCAAAGAATTAGATATGGCATGTGTGCTATAGGTGGCACGTAGAGCCATATCTGTGGGCACGCAAGCATTGCCCTACCTCAGCTCCAGTGTGCATGCACGTGCCGGCCAACTGATTTCTGGGACTTCCAGGCCCACCGGAAGTCAGGAACGAGCTGTTTCCCACCTCTGGAGGGCCTCCGAGGGGGTGGGGAAGGCTGTTTTTGCCCTCCCCAGGCTCCAAGAAAGCCTCTGGAGCCTGGAAGCTCTCTGGGGAGAGCAAAAAACGGGCCTTCTGGCACCGTGCCATTGTGTGCCAAAAGTAGGGGATCGCGTATGTAGGGTGCAGGGGGGCATTGAATTATGGGTGTGGGCACATGCGTGCCCCCCACTTTTGGCACATGACAGCAAAAAGGTTAGCCATCACTGGACTAAGGCATAAGCTCCTAGAAAACCCAATGGCTTTTCTGCCAATTGAACAGTCACCTCGTATATAATCTACATGGTTGCTGGTATCCTCACCTGAATTCTCGTCCACTTTCTCAACTGTCTCAACTGCAACTGACCATTCTTGGAAAACCCTTCCTACAAAAGTATATTTATGATGTTGTTATCTTCCTGGCATTGAGCAAATGTTCCCCAGGTAAAAGGATGGAACCAAATCTGGCCAAGGACTGAATTCTCTCCCTCCATATAGTTGGCTGATGTTATGTGAACAGAGGGCTTCCTGGGTTATCTGTAGGGAAAGTAACAGTAGCACAGTTGGAAGGGACTTTGGAAGTCATCTAGTCCAACCCCCTGCTCACGTAGGAGACCTGTACTAGGGATTCGAACCGTCGAACTACCAACCTTTCTGATTGACAAGCTCAGTTCTTAGCCACTGAGCCACCTAGTTAGGTAAAATCAACATGGGAGAATCTCCAGCCCTTTTTATATGGATCATATAGAGCTCAATATAAAAAGGTAAAGGGCTTTGATTGCACTGTCCTGGTCATCTTGATTTTTTCCTATCATTCCCTCTGATGTCTCTATAAGGCCCTCAGTTCCTTAAAACCATTCTTTCTGCCATTCTTTCTTCCATGCTTGCTTATAAGTTCAATAAGCAAGTCTATACACCAGTGTTTCTCAATCTTGACCCAGTGGTTCAGACCGGTTCTATAGAACTGGTAGTAAAACCGGAGGGAGGCTCTGCCCACCAACCCCGACGTCATCAGAACGCTTCTGTGCATGCCCCATTGCGAACCGGTAGAAAAGGTAAGTAGAACCCACCCCTGCCTTGACCCCTTTAAGACACATGGACATCAATGTTGCCTGGGGAATTCTGGGAGTTCAAATCTATATATCTTAAAGTGGCCAAGGTTGAGTAACACTCCTATAGACACTTAGCTGGGAGTAAATCCCAATAAATGTATCCCAGGGGGGTAGGTATGTACAGAACGGTCCAAAAAAAATGTCACAAAACCTGGTTGGTATGACCAGCTGCAACTCTGGGACTTTTTCAGCAATTATTTATAGCTTTCATGAGAATTATCTCCCTAACAAAGAATGATTTGATATCCGTTTGGTATCTTTTTCTTCCACTAGCTGCATTTTAATAAAAATGTATAGGCTGATAACAACAGTAAGGGAAATGGGGTTTCAATAGAATCTAATTGATTCAACTTCTGCATTCACATGAGCCTCTTATGTGCCTAATGGAGCTTCCAGGTAGAAACATTTGAATCTGCAAATCCCTTCTACCGATTCTGATGAAATAGTTGTTTATAATAATACTGTTTCGGTTTAAATAATGCATGAAAGCCGCTTGGTCAGCTGTATAAATGATAGGCTATTTCAACATAACATCAGAAGGAGAATAGCCAATAAAGGTGATACACTAAAGGCAGCGTAATAAATGCAATTTTAAAATATGTTTATTATTATTTAGTTATTTATTTATTTTATTAAGTTTGTGGCCCAGCTTGCCACCCATTTCTTCAATTAACAAAAAAGTCAAAACAAAAAAGTCAAAACTATCTAGTCCCCTAAAACTAGATGGTATTAAAATACTTTCTTCCTTACCCTTTGATAGAAAAAAATGAAGATAGACCCAAAAAAAATAATATAATTTCATTGCTGCAAATTGGGTATAGCTTTATATAACTAGTGTATAATGCTTTAAAAAATTCAAGCAGTATCCATAAAATATAGTATAATAAGTTAATTGGTGGTGCCAAATGTGTAAAAGATTGGTATATTCATAACCGTTGGGTGTGCTAGCTGAAGTGTACAGTATAAGAAATTTAGATTAACAAACTGGCAGTCTGGAAAGCATCTGGTTGCATTCTTTGATGTGATTTCCAGCTGGAGAAATGCATTCATGTTGTAGTTCATATTTATAAGATGTTTACCCTTCTGAATATATATATATATATATATAAAAACCTGTCATATTGAATTGACATAAACAAGATTGGTATCCAGCTTCCTGGTTTTCTATTTTCCTTGTTTCCCCCAAAATAAGACATCCTCTGATAATAAGCCCAATCAGGCTTTTGAGCACATGGCAATAAGGCCAAGCGCTTATTTCAGGGTTCAAAAAAATATAAGACAGGGTCTTATTTTTGAGGAAACACTGCTACTAAGAGATCCAATTCGGTCTAATGATTATGGCCCCAGGAAAGAAAGTGGGAGACCCCAAATTCTAATCCTGCCTTAGCCATGAAAGCCAGCTGCGTGACCTTGGGCCAGTTTTAACCAAACCATCTCACAGATTTGTTATTGTGGAAACAATAGGAGGAGGAAGGTGTGATGTATATGTTTGCTGCCTTGATTTTTGGGGGGAAAAAAAATCAAGCATAGAAACAAACAAACAGATAATCTGTGGGATATGCTTGAAAATAAATATACATAAAGTTGGATTGTAAGAATGGGGTCTAGATCAAGCCAATTGATCTAGTTTCATTATACTGAATGTTAAAAGTTAGTCATTGCAGTGTTTCTGCTTATTGCATGTAGGACAATCAGAATAGAGTTTGGATCCAGATTTAAATATTTTGTGAATGAAAAATAATGTTTTATAAATCATCTCTCTAAAACCTTTAAGGACAGAAATCTTGATTCACTAAACGGAGTTCTCTGTGTACTGTGACATCCATCCATAACCTGCCAGTGGCTGTTAGCATGCTAATAGGAGCTGATGTGTTACATTATGCTGTTCATAATAATGTACAGTAAACATTGCCCTGTTGGATTGGACACCTACCCTATCTAGCCTAGCGATCTGTTCTCATAATGACCAACCAGCTGCCCAAAAAAGCCCCCTAATTTCCAGCAGATGGCTTTCACAGGCAATAATACTGTTTTACAACCTGCTGCTAGGGAATTTGAAATTCAGCTTTCGCACAACACGAAGGGTACATCCATCACAGAGACTAGAAGGTTAAACCAAAGCTACAAACACTCCCACTCGGCCCTGAAGTTTGCCAGGAGATAGTTCTTGTCTCTCTGCCCAGTGTATTCTACAAGATGGTTGTGAAATAAAACGAATTGTTACAGTGACCATATGTCCTTTATTATAGAGGACAGCCTTTTACGGTATTTGAGAAAGCTGTTCTTCAGATCTACTTAATTTTCAAAAATTCACATTTGTCCTTTATTTTGGTCATTTAACTTGTGTCATACAAATGGTACCACTTAAAGCCCAAGCTTTCACATCCACGTGAAAAAAATATGGAAACCAAATTCTTTTTAGAAGGGTAAATGCACATATACTCTTTGATTTTAAATATTTTAATATGCGTTTTTGTAGTTTTTCTTGGTTTGCTCTTGAATTTGCCCTTCTAAAGCAAACATAAGCTATTAAAGCGTTTTTTATCTTCATGAACTCCTCTCAGATTTGCCCCCTTTTCAGGTTTGTCCTTTGTTTTTTCTCAAGAAAATATGTTCACTGTAATTATGGTGAGATAATTGCTAGCTTCCACTTTTACGAGAAGGCCAAAGTATAAATAGATGGTGAATGCAGATTTGTAGTTATACAGAAAAAATCCCTTCAGAGCAAAATATGCACTCAAGTAATACATCCCTTTCAGGGGTTGGTTCTACTTACTTATACTACCGGTTCGCAACGGGGCTGGGCGCACGTGCTTGCTTCACACGCGGCGCACTCTTCTGCACAAGCACAGAAGCTTCTGCACATGCACAGAAGTGTTTTCATGACGTCAGGGTCAGTGGGCGGAGCCTCCTGCCGGTTTTACTACCGGTTCTATAGAACCGTTGCGAACCAGGGGCAACCCACCACTGATCCCTTTCCTTAAGATGTTGCTATGTTTACTTTGATATAAAACATGCTGCATACTGTCATGATCTAGGTAGAATTTGGGATTCAAATTTAGGCCTATAAAACCTTTGAAAGCAGCTTTATTTTTAATAATTTGAAAATAATGGACACTTTTCCAGGAACCCATGGGATGTTCAAAATACGTTGCGGTGGGGATTGTACTAAATCTGGTTACCGTACCCTGTTTTCTGCCCTAGCAGGTTTTCCATGTTTTCCAACATTGAGTCATACTTCTGTGACTCCTGCAAGTACTCTTGTTTCACTGGGACTATGATGTAGGTTCTCCTAACTGCGCTTCCCCCCCCCAAAAACAGAATTAATTTGCATTTCAGAAAATCCTGCCATTTCTGACCTCAGAAACGTTGACATTCAGATTAGTTTTAGTAGATAAGACAGAAAGATAAGGTCTTAAAAACCACAATATCATTAAAGTGAACATGCTGATGTATAGGTAGTCCTCAACTTACGATCACAATTGAACCCAAAATGTTTGCTACTAAGTGAAATATTTGTTAAGTGAGTTTTGCCCCATTTTATGACTTTTCTTGCCACAGTTGTTAAGTGAATCACTGCAGTTGGCAAATTACTAACACAATTGTTAGGTGAAACTGGTTTCACCATTGACTTTGCTTCTCAGAAGCAAAGGTGATCATATGCCACACCTGGACACAGCTACCCTCATAAATATGAACCAGTTGCCAAGCATCTGAATTTTGATCATGTGACCATGGGGATGCTGCAATGATCGTAAGTATGAAAAACGGTCATAAGTCACTTTTTTCACTGATGTTGTAACTTTGAACAGTCAGTAAATGAACTGTTGTAAACCTGTATTGGAGACAATTAATCCTGGATTGACTTTATATGTAAAACAATAATAACAAATTTTGCTTTCAAATGTGGTGTAGCTTACAACACTGAAGTTATTATAAACTATACCAACTTAAAGAAGAAGCTCTGTCAGATCTCACTCTTGCTCTTATTCTCAATGTCCAGGACAAGCGTTGTTCGTCCTCCTGCTGACATCAGCAATCTCACTCCTTGGAGGACTGATCTTTGGCTATGAACTCGGAATCATCTCAGGAGCCCTGTTGCAGCTGCAGGTGGTTTTCCATCTTCGTTGTATTGAGCAGGAGGTCCTTGTGAGTGCCTTACTCATTGGAGCTCTCATAGCTTCTTTGGTTGGAGGAATCTTTATTGACCGGCAGGGAAGACGGAAAGCAATATTGCTCAGCAATGCAGTTTTGCTGTGTGGCAGTCTCATCCTGACACTTGCTAGATCACTTATTTGGCTGGTGGCTGGACGTCTGACTGTAGGTTTTGCCATTTCTTTATCATCTATGGCGTGCTGCATATATGTCTCTGAAATGGTGGCTGCCCATCAGCGAGGGGTATTGGTATCCCTTTATGAAGCTGGAATCACCATGGGCATCTTACTTTCGTATGCACTGAATTATATCTTTGCTGACACTCCTGAGGGATGGCGATACATGTTTGGCTTGGCTATTGGCCTGGCCGTCATCCAGCTTCTCAGCATCCTGTTCCTCCCCAACAACTCCAAGACTTTCAAGGCACACTACAGTGTGACTCATAGTAACCTCATTCAATCTCACAAGAATGAAGATGGTGAAGACATAATATTTCCATGCCCCATGGAGAAGAATTATTCTCTTGTCGATCTCCTCAGATCAAAGGACAATATGAGAAACAGGACTTTGGTTGGCCTGGGATTGGTCCTCTTTCAACAGTTCACCGGACAGCCCAATGCCCTCTATTATGCATCGACTATCTTCCGTTCTGTGGGATTTCAAACTGATTCCTCTGCTATCCTAGCCTCTGTTGGTCTAGGGGTGATGAAGGTTATCGCAACTCTGTTTGCCATGTTTTTTGCAGATAAGGTTGGCCGAAGGGTGTTGCTGATGGCTGGATGTTTGGTGATGTCTTTTTCAGTTATGGTTATTGGCCTGGTCAGCTGCTCTGTTCCATTAGATATGGTTAAAGACTGCGAAACGCTCATAGATTCAAACAATACTTCCTTCCGTTCACCTTCTCCCCACATAAATTCAGTTTCTCCCCAACCAGCTGCTTCCTATTTCTTATTGACAAAAGATACTAGTGAAATACAAGCTGAATCAACTTTTGCTATCATGAGACCAGCAGTCAATGCCAAAACGCTTACCGATAATAAAAGTGGAGAAAAAAGGGCAACCGTTACATTAGAAACTGAGAAAACTCCATTTCTCACCCAGTCAGTGGAAGAAAAAGAATGGGATACCAATTCTTCAATGAGTGGGGCCTCTTCCAAGCAGCACATGCTCCTAAACTGGATTACACTCCTGAGCTTGATGGCCTTTGTAAGTGCATTCTCAATTGGATTTGGACCAAGTAAGTATCTTCCTGATTTCATACTTCTTGTCCTAGGGCCCTCTGACATAGATGGACCTGTCTATACCTGAATATGTTTTGAGTCTTAATAAGTAGTTTATTATGTTTGTTTGTTGGGCTTCTGTGCTGCCCAATTAGTTTGGCTCCGAAATGGCCTGCAATTACTCCTTACGGTATTAAAATTAGAATATCGTGGTATGTGCCATAATAGAACAAGTGAAGTAAGTCATTTGATTCATGAATCTATACATGCAAACCATAAATGCATTTGCAGTTTCTGCGGGAGTTCCTATTCTTTATTAGAGTATTCCATAATAAAGAGGGTCAGGAATGGAGGGAGTGTTCATTTAAAAAGAAAATAACCCAGGAAAAAGAACTCTTAATTTTCAGTCATTAGCCTCTTTAATTAAATTTTATAGGGCTTATTCTGGCTAAATGTGAATAGGCTTTTGAGTGGATAATTTTCTGATCTTCTAAAGCCATTCTGTGTTCACTTCAGAGATGATTTTAGACCAGGGTAGCAATCTTATGCCCAGGAGCTTCATTTAGAAACAAAAGAAAAATGAAACCGCTTAGCTTCCAAAGGCCACAAGATAACAGGTATGGTACCTGGTTACAATCAGCTAACATGAGAAGTTTGGGGAGGGAGTTATATTAAAATTCCATTACTCTGCAGAAAGTCAAGCAGCAAGTTTGTCCAATTCCCATTCTTGATATATTTTGGGAACTGAAATAAGTTGGCACGGGTCACACAGGAATCCATGGTTTATGCACCTACAATGTGTCTTACACTATTGTTCTGTCTCACTTTAAACTGGACATGCTAAGGACAAGCTTTCTCCTATGCTTTGCCACTAAGCTAAGCACCTAGTCTTGTTCCATTCAATAAGTGGAATCACTGGAGTATTTTCTCTCTCACACACACAACTTTCTAAAAGAGTTCCTTTTACCTATCTGTTCCAGGAAGTAAGCACTGTGTTCAAATGTTTTTACATACCTAGTTAAGCAAACATAACTATGGATAACATACATCTGCCGATTTATAATTCCACAGTTTGCAAATAAAATGTCAATATTTTCAGTTGAGGCGTTAGTACTACAAACAATGATTCCAGCATATTTTATATGCCTGCTCCAAATACTTAGAAGATATCTAAATGAAAGAGGAACCTGTGTTGGCCAGTTAGAAGCCTTAGAAAAGATAATTTAATCAGGTGAGGTTTGCATTTGATTAAAAGAAAAGTATTATTTTAAGAAAAGTTGAAGTTCAGACTAGCTGGTTTTTATTGACTGACAGTTTAATTGATTTATGTGATTTCTGCATATTGCTATTCTTCCTTTCAGAAGCAGAGTGGTTTACAAAAGAATTTTTTAAAAAAACAGTCTTAAATAAAACTGTCACAATAAAACCAGAAATGTTTAAAAACCAATAAATACAAACATTAAAACAAATTTAACAAATGAAAAAAAACACTGGTCATCTTAAAGTGAATCTATTCCTAGAGAAATTGTTATCTCATAAATTGTTGGGTGAATAGTCATGTCTACAATTATTTACAGAAAGATAGCATAGGTACCAGCTAAACATCTTTCTGAAGTTCCATAATTGGAATGCTATAACCAAGTACTATAAGTGCTGCTCCAAGGCATTGCCTGTGAACTGATCTCATTGGTAGAACCACAAGTAGGGCTTTTATCTTCATTATTTGGGCCAAGCAATCTCACAAAAAAATTGATATAAACTTCAGTTAATAAATCTGATACTGACTTCTACATTATTTTATATTATTCATGAATCCAACCGTTTACCATGGTCAATTTGTTGATACTGGTACTTGACAAAGCAGCCTTTAGTCCATAAGTGCTCTCTGGTGCAATGCATTCACCTGGGCAATGCAATGCCCAGCCTTCTTATTGATGTTCTCTAGATGGGTTAAAACTGTAACTAGAACTCTGTAATTTCTAGCCATCAGGGCCCCACTTAGTTATTAAAATGACATGGGATACTACTGTAATGCACCTACTAATACAGTTTTCCAAAATGAAGAGAAAAGGTAAAATCTCCCCTAACTTGAGTTGACATCTGGAGACTACACGTCCATGTCCATATTGTTTTCTTAACCAGTGAGATGGAAGTTATTTTCCATTGCCTTTTGGTATTTTTATTATTTTCCACTCTACTCCACAAATTGAATTTATTGATGGCCTCGCATTAAACTATTTACCAGGTCAGCTTTACTCTCCTCAGCTTCTTCAGGATTAGCCAAATTCATCTAGGTATTGCACCTGTTGTAACAAGTATTTTTTTTTATTGTTCCAGTTATTTTACAATCCAGTGAAAATGTCTGTCTTGTCCACTCACACTCTGTACACATAGAATTTTCTGGAACAGTGTACTACCTATCTTTTCAATGTTTCTTGTAAAAAAGTAACATGCATGTGCAGATATTTATTTTATGTTTAAAAGTGTGTGAGTTTAAAAGTCTGTTTAGGAGCAAGAGTAATAGTGGTAGTAGTCATAATAATAATAATAATAATCCAGAGTGTCTGTCTTCATGTCTTCATTGTATTTAACTTGAAGCTTCTGAATAATTGCATCTTCCAACCCAACAGTTCAAGCTTTCTTTCTATAATATCGTTCCCATTCCAGTTTCTTCTTATGGTTGGACAAAATGTTGCTTATGATTTGTTTCTTCCTCATGCCTAATTGCACTCCTTGACTTTCTTTTCTCCTCCCACAGTGACATGGCTTGTCCTCAGTGAGATCTATCCAGCTAGCATACGAGGGAGAGCTTTTGCATTCTGCAATAGTTTCAATTGGGCTGCCAATTTACTAATCAGTCTTACATTCCTTGACATCATTGGTAGGTATAGTATTGGCTTGCTGTTGACATTCTTTTCTGCTAACCATAGCGGAGGTGATAATAGGGTGCACTTAGACCTGTGTTTCTAAATCTCAACATGTTTTGGATTTATGGACTTTAACACCTAGAATTCCCAATTCTGGGAGTTGAAGTTCATGTCTTAAAGTTGCTGAAGTTGAGTAACCCTGATCTAGACCCAACAAAGGGTCACTGCCATTGTCTTGTCTCCTGTTTATTATGTCACTTCTGGAATCATGATCAGACATATATAATAACTAGAATGTTAAATTTAGACTCAAGATAGCCAGTCTCAAATCTCTACCAAACCAGAAAACTCAGTTCAAGGCAATCTTAGTCTACTCTATGTCAGAAGCCATGGTGTTCTCATGATTTTCTTGGATGGGCAAAAGTAACTTTTAAAAGAAGATATCATAATGGTGTCATTAGAAGAAGAAAAAAATCCAAAGTCCATAGCTGAATAATATATTTATTAGGCGATACAGTGTTTTCCTCACAAAAGAGCAGACAAATATTTACATGCTCCAGAACTCTGCATCAGAGGAGATAATACTAAGGTTGCAGAAAAAGGTAAAAAATCCAAAATTACACCAGATGTTGTGGTTTGCCATTTAGTGTCATTCTCAAGAGTGGGATTGCATACTGAATGTATTGTCACTAGTAGATATTAAATTAAAAAATTACAACTAGTAGTATGAAACAGTTGTTGGCCCAGACATGTGCAACCCCAGGTCTGAAATTTAAAAAGTCAGTTGTTTCCTAATACAGTACAGTACAGTACAATACAATACAACACAACGACAATTGTGAAGCTAATATGAAGCTACTTCTGAAGCTCACTTGAAAAAGTAAGATTATAATCTATCTGATTTTATGAGGTCTATGGAGATTCTTAATCACATAGGTCATGGTTGAAGAAGAAACTGTAGAAGTTTCTTGGATGAGAAGCGAAATATTTTCAAAGAAGAAGGGAAAAAAAGTCCAGTTACCTTTTGGAAAAGCATCTCTGGAACTTCTATGAGAAGGGTTGCATTTCTTCAGTTAATTTAGCTGGTTTAGACTTTGTTTCTTTCAGAAGATTTTAGAATTATTTTTGGGTTTGAGGTAATATTTTAAAATATTGTCAAAATATTTCAAGTATTGCCAGATATTTTAATTCCAGAAATATTATGTCAGCCCTCATTTGTAGTTCAGATATGTATTAGTCTGTGTGTGGAAGAGGAAAGCCATCTGGTCCTGCTGTTAATAGTAAAACTCATCTGAAAAGTATTTATGGCAATTGTCCATCCCCAAGGTACTAAAGGTGGAGAAACACTGCAAAACCATGCTGTTAATGTTTTTAAAACCTTTTATTATTGTTATTACCTCACCCCTGAGAGGTTTTGCAATCAAAATGCTATAAAGTGATAATTTTAATTCAGTTTAATTAAAATGACTGGCACCTTTTACAATGCATCTATTGTTGTACTAATGCCCAGACGAAACTTCTGTTTTTGCTGAATGCGTGAGTCTAATAAAGTGTAAATTTACTTTTGAAAGGAAATTTTGAAGCTCCTTTTAAGTAGCCTTTGGTAAGCTCCTGATTTCACGACAGCCTTTATCCTATCCCAGCAAATGTGGCTTTATGTCATACATTGATTTTGTTACATTTCTCCATGCAGATATCATTGGCTTGTCGTGGACTTTCATTTTCTATGGACTGGTGGGATTGGCGGCTGTATTATTTATTTATTTATTTGTACCTGAAACCAAAGGACAGTCTCTGGAAGAGATAGACCATCAGTTCTCAAAGAAGCGGTATGTCGTAGTTTGGCTTTGGCTACAATATCTGTCACTGCTAACACTGACCAATGCAGAAGTGTTTTGCCCATATCATAGAGAATTTGAAGCAGGGCATGGTCAATCCGTATTAATCTCTTCGTTGTTTTGGCAGGTTGCTGCAAAGGAATATATGCTGGCACCAACTATGGCACAGAAGAGATATCTATACACGTGCTCAATATCAAAGAGTAGACAATTCTAATGCTTCCTGAAAAAGGAGCCATCACTCGTGACGTGACATAATGGTTACCTATATCATGCTGGAAGTTTTATGGTGACTTTCCCAAAAAAAGAAATTTTGGTACCATTTCATGACAATCTTGTATTTATGTAGGTGACAATATAATTCTTTTTTTATATATATAAATATACATATTTTGTTATGTGTAGAATCTAGCATTCCAGCCCCTGGAGGAAGTATATCTGGTATGTTCATATATTTTATAAATATTTGATGAATAAAATATATTTGAGCCTATTGATTGGATATTTGGATAGTATGTTTTTCAACTTGATGGATTTTGTTTATGCTAAAGGAGATGTTTTTGTATCTCCAAAACCATTTGTTGGAGAAAACCTCCTCCCTCATCTATTTTCCAATACCTCTTTCAGTTTATGGGTAAGTAGCATCCTCCCTCTCCAGACAATCCATTGGGACCTGATTGTACTAAACAGTAAGGAAATGCTGACTTTTTAAGAAATCAGACAGAAGTATGTCAGAAAAGAAAAAAAACAGAAAAATTATAGAATCATCTCATTGCTTGCATAGGCTACATCTGATCAACACCGTGATTATATTTTTAATTCCCATAGAAACAAAAATAAACACTAACTTCACTTTGCTCTGCATTCCATCTCAAATTGAACTATTATTACCACCTAAATATAGAAAAAGGAGTTCCTGTACTTTTTAAATTCATTTCTGAATAGAGTAAAACATTAACTAGCCCTGCCAAAATGTATTTCACTATCTTAATTTGTGAGGGAAGAAGTGGCTTAGATAATTATGCAAACAGGATGAAATGGCACAGCTCAAATTATGGTTTATAACAGCCAGCATGCCTTGTGGTGATAGAACTTAGCAAAGTCCTTTTCTTGTCTCGTGCTGTTTTGTCTATTCTTGGGATCCCTGTTCAATTCATTGGACCAGGTAACTCCAATGTGTGATATGCTACTGATTCAGGACCCCTCTAAATCTATTGAAGTAGAATAATGTATTTTAACGTAGAAATCTGGCAGTCCTCGTATAGGATTTTATGTTTATTTTATGATTTACACATCACTGCTTTTTATTTCCAGTAAACTTTTATTTGTAATTAGACTGGAGAGGGTTGATGAGGATTTCTTTGCATCTTTAAGGGATCGCTTCTCCTACATGACTAAAATGTACAGGAACACCGTGGCTACATTTATTGTGTTTATAGTAATAGTAAAAGTAAGTTGTATTGGCTCTCATTCCCAAGAAGTTAAGAAGCCTGCACTTCTAGAAACTTTCTCGCTCTATGAATAAAGAAAAAGAGTGGTGGCAGCAGTAGTGAAATGTAAAATTTGTTACTACTGGTTCTGTGGGCATGGCTTGGTGGGGGGCGAGGGGGTAATGTGACTGAGTGGGCATGGCCAACCTTTTTAAAAAAAAACTTTTAAAACCATTTTTTCTACAACCTCTTCGGCCAAAGAGGTTTTTAAAAAATGCTTTTAAAAGCCTCTGACAATCAGGCAACTAGCTGGGATCGTCAGAGCCTTTTAAAAAAAAACTTTTAAAAGCATTTTTTCGGCCGAAGAGGTTGTAGAAAAAATGCTTTTAAAAATTAAAAAAAGCCTCTGATGATCGCGCGGCTCAGTTGGGTTGGGGGGGGCAGGGATTTTTGCTACTGGTTCTACGAACCACCCGCTGCCATCACTACCAGATCGGGCGATCCGGTCCGAACCGGGAGCATTTCACCCCTGGATGGCAGCCTATTTCAGTGTTTAAATTCTATGCCTCTTGGCATATTTTACAGAGAAATTGAGGCAGATTAAAAAACCTCACCCTTCTGCTACCTATTGACTAGCAATGAGATGCAAATTAAAGGTGAAAACCTAGTCCAAAATTACTTTGGGAAAAAGTGAATGCACAGATTTTCTTTGCTTAGGCAGAGAACAGAAACATAATACCTTTGTTAAAAATGGATTATCTAGCTAGAACAGAAGCTAAAGAGAAGACATGATGACCTGGATGAACAGCAATCAATGGAGAAGTTGAAGTTGTTGCCATTTCATCCATCCCGCAGAATGACCAATTTAAGCCACTTTTAACAAGATAACTTGGTTCAAATACATTCTCTGCTAAAACTGCAATCAACTAAGTAGCCTTTATCATACAGGGAACATAACTGATGATAACATCAGAAAGAAGCAATTGGCGTGCAGCTAGAATTCAAACTTTTAAGAAAGCAGGACATTCTTTTGTGATTTAAGCATATGTGGGAGGTGAAGTACCCTTTTTGTTACAGATGTTCACCGAAGCACTCATTTGTCATGAACTTCCAAAATTAACTATGAATACACACACACACACACAAAAAGAGATCTCAGAGGAAGTGGCAGCTATCTTGTATCCAGTACTTGAATAAAAAAGCAAGAGCAACTGGAAGATTTCCCAGGGGATTAATTAATAACAGCCTTGGTTGGGAATTGTACTTTAGATTTTATTTTTCAGGCCTGCTGGGTGCAAATTTCTCAAATAAGGTTCAGGTGCCTCTTCTCATTCCACTTCCTATTTTATAATCTCTGCCACAAAGTTTAACTTCGGTTGCTAAGGGAAATGCGATGTAATGCGAACTCCTTGTTTAAAGTTTTACTATATTTCTGAGTAAAAGTGACAGAAGGAATAATTTAAGAGAAAAAATGCTGCTTTCTATATTCAAAGCTTCTTTTGGGTGATTCTGCAGAAATTGAAAAGTGATGGTGACTTTACAAAGGCAACTTTTTGCTTTTTTGACTTGTGACACCTGGAATACTAATCTTCCACCCTTTCATATCCCACATTTAAGACATAGGGCATACTTACTGTATGCTTGTATAATTTATGATGCAACTTTTAAAATTTCATGCAGGGTAGGGAACCTAAGCCTTCTAGATGTCCTGAGCAGTTCTGAGCATCTCTCATTACTGACCATGGTGGCTGAGCTTCTAGGAATATCTGAAAGACCATATGCTTCTCACCTCTACTTTAAATATATCAGATGCAAAGGGGAAACCGGAAGGTTATGCAGTTATTTCCCAATTAGTGAAAAGTTGTAAGAGAAATACTATTTAAATTTGGATTTCTTTTAGATGAATAGAATAGAATAGAATAGAATAGAATAGAATAGAATAGAATAGAGAATAGAATAGAATAGAATAGAATAGAATAACAGAGTTGGAAGGGACTTGGAGGTCTTCTAGTCCAACTCCCTGCTTAGGCAGGAAACTCTACACCATTCAGACAAATGGTTATCCAACCACCTCTTAAAAACTTCCAGTGTTGGAGCATTCACAACTTCTGGAGGCAAGTTATTCCACTGATTAATTGTTCTGTCAGGAAATTTCTCCTCAGTTCTAATTGCTTCCCCTTGATTAGTTTCCACCCATTGCTTCTTGTCCTGCCCTCAGGTGCTTTGGGGAATATATTGACTCCCTCTTCTTTGTGGCAGCCCCTGAGATATTGGAACACTGCTATCATGTTTCCCCTAGTCCTTCTTTTCATCAAACTAGAAATACCCAATTCCTGCAACCGTTCTTCATATGTTTTAGCCTCCAGTCCCCTTGATCATCTTTGCTGCTCTTCTCTGCACTCTTTCTAGAGTCGCCACATCTTTTTTACATCGTGGCAACCAAACTGAATGCAGTATTCCAAGCGTGGCCTTACCAAAGGCCAAGCGTGGCATTATAAAGTGGTAGTAACACTATATAATGCCTGATGATTAAGATCAATGAGTGATCCCTGGAATATATGGTCTTTCTGCAATACTTTATTCACAAGAACAGAAGTAGAATTAAGATGAAGAGCAATATTTAGTATGCTTCTTTAGGTATTGATAAATATTTATTTATTTAAGTTAATTTATCCTCACATCACACTAATGATTTAAGGTTCCCTCTACCCCATCCTCTGGGAACTGAAAGCAATCATCTGAAGCTCTGTAGCCACTAATCATGTGCAAGATCCCCATATAATTAAGGAGCCAAGAAAATGGGGAAAACCTCTTTAGCAGAGTTAGTGGATGCAACACTGGGCTGTAGAGAGAGACAGCTGAACAGTGCCTCCTTTGTTACTGTTGGAATGCTTTTTATTAATGGATGCCATCTTAAGGCAGCCACATCCCAAATAGATTGCTATACATCTCAACTTTCAAGGAAGGATATATCTACTTCCTACCTCATAATTTGAAATTTCCTTAATAAAAGCATACAGCTTTTACTGGTTTGGTATTATCTACATTGCTCAGGCAAAATATCGGTAAAATAGCCTAATGCATAGTGAGTTAATTCAAGACAAAGATTTCAACTCCATTCTTCAGATCACTGGTCTGCTTCTAGTAAGCAACTAGAAAGTGTAATCAACTTTTTTCTCTCAAGGACAAAAAGGCTGATAGCGGCAACAGCATGCTTTAACCAAACTATAGCTCTGACTAAGATCTTACCTATGTTAGGACATCCTCAAGCAGGTTGTGTATTGAAACAAGCAAGGTGCATTATTTAAAAGCTTCCACTAGGAGGCTCTTGAGGATTAAAGAATCACATCCTTTGCACTCCTCTAAAAGGCTGTTTTCCTGTTCAAAAGAAGCAAACAGAAATATCTTCTGGTAGGAAGTGAGTTTTTGCCCTGGCCCAATGTGTTTATAATAACAGGGCTTAAAACAGCATTTCATTAAGTGCTGATTTTCCCAAAAAGCTCCAAAAAGACCTTTCTAAATTAAGAATCTGGGTATGAAGCTGTAACTGATCTTTTCCAAAAAGGTTATTTGTGTGTATGTCTAAGTGTGCTTATGAAAAAGCAGCATCTACGTAATGTTAGATGTCATTGCCACAGAAAGTCTCAAGGTTTCAAATGAAAAAAGTAGAAGACAGAAACAAGCGTAAGAAATTGGTGAATAGATTTGAATTTTGGAAACCAGAAGAAGCAAGCAGCATCTAATCCAGTTTTCTCAACTCAGCATACCGGCTGGGGAATTCTGGAGTTGAAGTCCACAGATTTTTAAGTTGCCAAGGTTGAGAAATACTGATCTAGTCTCAGAAGCATGGAAGGACGTCAATTTTGAAGCAGGGGAGAAAAGCACTGCCGGAGACTTCCCTTCCCATTACTGGTATGTTGCCTGAATTAACACAGGCATTTGCCAGTCTGGCACTCCTGGAGTTGCAATCTCAACCCTCCAATGCAAAATTTCCCTTTGCAAGTCAATCTTATAATAGGAGCATTTACCAATTACAAGTAATTCTCAACTTATGACCAGTATC